GTGGGGGGGGGGGGGGGGGGGGGGGGTGGCGGCAGATGATATGGTATTGATAGGGGATTGTCACGAAAGTTCGCACAAATTTTATGAAGGAATTGAGTTACTCCACCAACACTCATAAGGTAAAGGCGAACGGGCTCCCAAGTCGGGACGTCTAGCATGTCAAGCAATACGTGGAGCAACTCCCAATATAGTATTAAAAGCAAGACTACTAAACTAAGAAGGTCCTAGAGAGACTCCCCACACAAAGAAAAGAAAGGAGCAAGCTGCTGGGAGAAGATTGAGTGGAATCGTATCGACCACAGGCGCTTCCGGCAGACTCCGCCGATACCTTGCGATTAAAGGTTTACATTTTGAGAATAAACTCTAATTCCATATTGGGTATGGCGCGGACGTACAGATGGAGTTAAAAAAGAACGGAGATTTATGGGAAGCATTGTGATGGAATGTTCACCTCAATAGCGGATATGAATCCATCTTGATCCCTATCGAAAACTTTGAAAGCTTCTTTTAGTTCCTCTGCTCCATTGTCCTATCAAATACAAATTACATTGATTCAGCTTCTAATTCCTAGCATATACCAATGTGTAATTTCAAATTGACTCATTCATATTACCTTCATCTTTCTAGCCATAATACCCAAAAACTCTTCAAAATCTATGGTGCCATCTCCATCATTGTCGACTTCATTTATCATTTCTTGAATTTCTTCCTTTGTTGGATGTTCATTCAAGGAGTGTATAACTGCCGCAAGTTCTGCCATGGTGATTACACCTTTACATGGAGAAAAAAATTAGTTCCTCTGTCAACCAATATGATTTAGTAACATTAATCCTGGTCGAGAATGAATGAAAGACGGCCTTAGTGATCCGACATTAAGAGTTGGAGGCCGGTGGCTCGACCGATAACACATGATTCTAGTCCAGATAAAGGAGCAGAAAAATTACCATCAGAATCTTTGTCAATCAGACAAAAGGCTTCCCGGAACTCGGCAATCTGTTCTTCTGTCAATGCATCTGCCATTTCGATGATTCTGATCTTGATTTACAGTCTTCAAACAAAAAATGGGAAAAGGGATTTATTCTATTGGCTGTCCCCGAAAAATGGTAAGTAAATCTTTAGTTTAACGGGAATGTGACAAGATTTGTGGCAAATTTTAGAATTATAATGGGACACTTTTTCTCAAGTAAACGGTTAAAAGTCAAACACGCCTAGGGAACAAAAATCATTCAACATTCAAGAAAGAAACTTCTGAAATTTAGGGTCCAAAATCAACGGTTTGAATGGAATAGAATACTGCAAGTCTGCAATGGGCACCATAAGAATAAATTGATATTGGCTGACGCGTGTCTACATTATGAGTCATCCCGATAGTGACTGCAATTTTTTTTGGGTTTGATTTTTCGGGCCACTTAGTATACTCGACGCGTTCTTCCAAGTCAAGTACACCGTTAACGTACATGTTAGAGTAATTGTATTCCAACTGCTGAATATTTCAATTACACTTAAACGAGATTATTTTGTGATGAATTTAAATTTTTAGACGAGATGGTAGAAGAGTAAGGACTTAAAATTCCAAGCATTGGCAACATATGTAATGCTTTGATAAAAAAATAAGAGAATATTATTCGTCCTCACAATTAACCACTAGCTAGTAATTGTCTATAGTGTGGTTACTCTTACGTTGTTCAATAAATAAAAATATGTTGCAACTTCATTGAACTATGTGGTAGTGATCCCATAGTCACATAGACTAGTTATTATCCGCATTGATGATGAATAACATTATTCTCAAAATAAATCTAGTTGGTACATGCTAAAAACCAAATGAAATAAATATGTTGCTTAAGATTTTAGGGGATAAGATATGCTAACACTACACGTGAGAGGAAAAAGAGCACTAAAAGCATGTTTAGCTTTGCTTAAAAGTAAGTCAAATTTACTTTTAAATTACTTATTTTCGAGAAAGTGGGTGACTTTTTAAAAATAACTCTTAGACTTAGCCAAAATGCTCTTAGTTTATTTAAATGCTTGAAGAAAGCATGAAGTTTTTCATATTTCCTTGAATAGCTTGGATTCGAGAATGAGTCAATAATTGAAACTTGAATGTTCACACTTTGTCAGGACAATAAAAAGGCAATTGAAAAGATAATTATAAGAGGATTAAAAAGTAAAGTATAGAAATACGTACACATCCAGAAATTTTAAAGGTCAAATACAGGGTAGCTTCGATTTTTAAGGTAAATGGTAGGGCAGCTTTACATTCTTGCAAATTTAATTGACAACTTATTATTCCATGTGTGATAATTTGTTTGAATGTAAGTGTATGTATTTCTATGTATTTTTTATTTATTTATTTATTTTTTTAATGACTCAGATGTTCGATCTTTGTCCGACTGAAGAGAGTATTTTGTTTTTATTGTTTGGTTAGAAAGACCTGTCATCAATTACTTATATTAAAAGATTTTTTTTTCTTCTTAAAACATCCTTCCTAAGGCTACTATTATAAATTTATAAGTCAACTAGACCTTTGGTTAAGTTAAAATGACCCTTGATTTGATCAATTCAACTTCTAATTGAGGCGATCATACCTTAGTCTAAAAGGCTAAACCCTACTCCAATTAACTAGGTCGGAGAAAATCTGGCCCAACATAGGCATGTTCTCCTCAATTAGGCTCTCAATTCTACTAATGGAACATGGGTCAAGTTGAGGCATAAAAATAACAAATAGGAAAGAGCAAAAAATCAAAATCAAAATTAAACAAACGTAAACTATAGATGCTTGGAATCTAATTGGTCACTTGATTGCATCTTGTTGGACTAATATCGATATTCACGGGATGCCTAAACGTGGCGATTAAGCTAGCAATGTACTTTTGTAGCAGGGGGGTAACATGCAATGAGAGAACTAAGGTTCTCTTGATAATTATTAGCCTTCGACTTAGTTGTAGAATGAGCTACGTTACTCAAGAATTTTTCATGATTGGCCGATTAGCCTTCAAGACTTTGAGTCTTTACTTGGTTGTAGAATAAACGAAACTACTTAGAAACTTTTGGCTAAAGTCTTGAGGATGCTAAGTGATGCAGGAATTTTAAGATTTACAAGACTTCACGACGTATTGAGAATGCAACAAAAGGCAATGTTACATGCACAAGTCAGTCACAATACTGTTTCAAAGAGTACTTTGGCAATGTGTGACGATGGGCCAGCAACTGCGAGAAATGTTTGCTTGATTCTCTCGTCAATGTCAAATGAGGATTTGGTAAGGATCACCAGTTTTTGGATATTTGACTCTATGTGGATGGTTGGGATGCCTCCCACGTCAGTTTTGATGCCGCCTAATCCAAAGGAGAAAATAATGTGAGGGAAAACACGCCACAAATTACTGTATATGTTTTGAATTCAATTTTGGTAGTTGTACAACTCCTCACATGGGAGGGGGCCCACGATGAATAAAAAAACGTGGGACCCCCAATGTGAGAGGGTTGTCAACTTCGGTTGTACACATAGCATGCTCCCAATTCAATTTGCTAGAAGTTGTACATTAACCCTCAATTAGGAGGAATTTGATATCTATATTTCTCTTAGACTAACTACAATATCATTTTCATTTTGGGACAAGAGAAGTGCACTTGTACTGTCACTGATTGGCAATGGAACTTTGTATGGTAGTTTTTATGAATTTATGATGCTCTTCCTATAGCTACTTTAATACTGTTTTTGGTTTCAAACGTCCTAGATGTAGATGTAGTGATAAATCTTCTTTGTTGTGGCATATGTTTGGTTCACATTTCCAAACAAAAGAGTGGAAAGATTAGTGAAAGATGGAACCTCGAGTTACTTTGGGTTAGAATTAGGGTGTGACTCAAATTCTATTTTGATTATGATTAGGAATTCTAACTAAGATCGACATTAAGAGGAATTTTATTTGTTGAAATGCTTTTGAAATTCTATTCGAAGTCTATTTGACAAATTTTAGTTGAAATTCTATTTGAAAACTCAATTTTAAGTTAGAATTTGTGCTAGATTTAAAGAAATCAAGATATAGATCAGGGAGGACTTTAAGACCTAATTATGCTCGACTAGAGCTCGAGCACCCAATGCAGTAAAGCTGAAGCCCGCCTGGCACAGCTAGACACTCTAGCGATGGGGCGGCACTCGCTTGGCATATTCATCTAGCCCATGCCCCTTTTTGAGTTTTGAGCATTCATTTCCATATATAACTTTACTTTTAAGGCTTGGAACATCTTTTATTATATATTACTATGGGAAAAATTCATAATCACAAATCAGGTACGTAGTTCAAAAATTCAAAATTCAGGTATCTATATAATTAATTGAAAATATTTATTAATTAAATATAATAAAATCACAGTTATACGATTAATGGTCACGGATTCATAATTATACGTCATAGATTTATTTTCTAGTCACATATCATCAAATTAATTGATCACAGATTATTTTGAAGTCACAAATCTAAAATTTTGTAGGTCGCAGATCCAAAATTTAAAGGTCTCCGATTGCTTCAAAGTCAAACTAATTGGTAACAGATTGTCAAATTATTAGGTCACACTTACAAAGTTGGTCATAGATAACTAAATCATTGGTCACATGCATCAAATAATGGTCACATACCAACACAAAACATCAACCAAACAAACTCTATCACCATCAGCACACAAAATCCCAAATCCCCATCACCAACACCACACAAACACCGTCCAAACCCACAAAATCGCTACCAACCCAAACTACTTCTGCTTTGCCCAGGTTGCTACAGTGTTTCAGGGATTTCATTTCACCATCGGAGTGGTGGATCTGCTTCGTGATTTCATTTTTCTACCTCAGCTCGTGGTTATTTGCTAAGGGAAAAGTGCAGCGGCGTGGTGCTTCTTCATTACAGTAGCACCAGTGAAGGGTACTCCAGCAATGACATGCTCCGGTGGCGACGACGTCTGACGGAGAGAAGACGTGAGATGGAGCCAGGGAGATGAAGAGGAGTCAGTGACGAGATGGAGAGTGAGAATGAAATGAAGAGAGAGGGGAAATGATTAGGGTTTTTAATTGAATTGGGTGGGTTAATTATATATAATACCTGATTTTTGTATAAATAAATTTCACCCCTAAATTTTGAATTTGGAAGTTTTAGTACCTCGTTTTCTGAAATTTCCATTTTTCTCTATTACTATTAGCTCTTCATAGTATTTTTTTTATTAAGTTAGACAGATCAAAAACAAAAAATCATTGTAATTATTTCTCCATATTTTATTGAAATCTTCATTTTTCAACCAACTATTTTATTCTTGAATTTGTGATCAATTAGTTCATATTATGTTATATTATTTTCTCGCCTATTATTATAACAAATTAATATCAGAATTATCCGATATTTTCTTGGTTGTTTATAACATTTTAGATTTGAGTACTTGTGTAGATTGTATCGTAGGGAAGTTGACTGCCAAAGTAAGAAAGAGTAATCCAATTGGAGCATTTGTATTTGCACCCAAATTTTTGAATAAATCGTTACCAGATAGAGTGCTCTGACTACAGAAAAATTGATTACGCCCATTATAAAACATTATGGTATAGTTATAATTTTTATTAATTTCACGAAAGATTTTATAAAAAGTTGGCTTGCTGTTTCAAATATTCAAATTAAGCACCCTACGGACATTTCGATAATCCAGCACTTGCCGAAAGCTTATAGCAAGGTCTATCCAAACATACATACTTATTGTACTTATAAGCACATTGCATTCTATAATGTACTCTCTCCGTCTCATAAAAATAAATTTGCTTTCTTTTTACTCGGTCCCAAATTATAGACCCTTTTCTTGTCGAGAGTATAATAAATTTCTTAATTTTCTAATATACCCAAATTTAATGTGCCTTATTATCAACAAATATGAACCATTTTTATTTAAACAATTATCTAACGTAAGAGTACATTAAAAAAAATTATATTTCTAACTGCATTAATTGCATATTTTTAATTGTGTGAAAATGAAAACAAGTTTATCTTTGTGGGATGGATAGAGTATGTTATAAAACTAAAGGTAAGAGAAGAAATAGAGAGTCAAAACTCAATTGTGTATTATTATGAACCAATGTCCTATTTATTATAGGATCCAAAATAAGAGTTACAATTGGAATA